ATATTCAGCTACTTTTTATTAATCAATGAAAAAGGCAATTCTATCTGCATTTAAAAACTCTGGAGTATTGTTAATGAATGGTGAAACTAAAATCAGAACTTTCAGTAAGTTCCTCATAGGAAAGCAGCAGTCTTACTGGTTTCACCGTAAAAGGTTTTGACAACATGGGAAACCACATAGTCTGTTGGCTGCTCACAGGCCCAGGGAATCAGCAGAAACATCTTCTCTTCTGTGGCTCTCCATGATGCAAAAGGGGCTCACAGTAAAGACCACATCCCTGCCTAAAACATACCACTGTATTTACCCAAGCTCCACGGAATATTTAAAGTCGAGGAAAGCAGAATTATGTATCAGAGGACTTAACTCTAAATTCATCCCAAAGTTCTAACACTAAAAGGAAAAACACACAGGGCCTATATGGAGAAAACAGAGGAAAAAGTTTTAATATTTCAGCACTTTTGACGTACAGCTGAAGACTAAACATTAACAGAAAATATTTGGGTAAGTGAACTAAGCCAACCTGCTAAAGACCAGGCCTGAGCAGAATACACTGAGCTAACGAAACGGAGAGGGGCCTGGCCTCGCTCCCAGCTCGTGCCCTCACCGCTGAACGGGCAGCGGAGGCGACGGTGCGGAGAACCCGGGGGCGCACTCATGAGCAAGGGGGCGAGAACAGAGCCTCAGAGCCTCACACGGAGGTGGTCTGTCAGGGCCAGCTGGAGAAACGCCCGGCACGGGAGATGAGCAAGACCCAGGGGCCCCAATTCTAAGTGCCAGGAGGCCACACTCCATCTGTGAAAAGCCTCCTGGGACACGCTCACCTGCTCCTGAAGCCTATCCAGGTCTGCGACCGCGTACGCGAGCTGCGTGCTGGAGATGGAGGCTGCAGGCCTGGCTTCTGGCGAGCCACCTGCGTTGTCACTGTTTCCTTGGCTAACAGAAGGGTCTTTGCTACCAGTCACCAAAGGCTTTTTGATCTCCTTGGCACTTTCATTGGAAATGGGCCTGAGCGAAAGCTTGAAAAGCGATTTCAGTGATTAAATATTTTTACCTTAGCAGATACCTGAGTATCTACATATGTGGGTCAACAACTCACCATAAATTGCTGGCTGTGTGCAAAGCAGTCAGTAAAAATTAGCTGCTGAAAGCACAGCAGATCGTGTATCGTTTCTGGGATGGAAGGTAACGTGCAGAAATAAACAATAAATACATCCCCAAACCACAGGAAAACTAACCTCTGGAACATCATAGCCTTAAAAAAAATTAACTAACTGTATTAGGTAATAACTTGCCAAAATAGTTAATGAACTAATAATAAGGGTAAAAAACTCAAAATCATAACCTTGTTATGNAAGGCTTTTTGATCTCCTTGGCACTTTCATTGGAAATGGGCCTGAGCGAAAGCTTGAAAAGGGATTTCAGTGATTAAATATTTTTACCTTAGCAGATACCTGAGTATCTACATATGTGGGTCAACAACTCACCATAAAATGCTGGCTGTGTGCAAAGCAGTCAGTAAAAATTAGCTGCTGAAAGCACAGCAGATCGTGTCTCGTTTCTGGGATGGAAGGTAACGTGCAGAAATAAACAATAAATACGTCCCCAAACCACAGGAAAACCAACCTCTGGAACATCACAGCCTTAAAAAAAATTAACTAACTGTATTAGGTAATAACTTGCCAAAATAGTTAATGAACTAATCATAAGGGTAAAAAACTCAAAATCATAACCTTGTTATGGTTCAAATAACAAAAAGTGTCCTTGTGCACAGCACTGTTACAAGAGAAGAACCCAGGGGAAGCGCGGGAGCACTGAGAAAAGCACAGGGGGTGAGCGTGCGAGGCACGGCCGCTGGCAGCCCAGCGCTGCAGCAGCCACGCCGCGTTCCCACTTTCAGACAGAGGCTCTGAGACTCACAGACCTTCACCTCCCACGGCCACGGAATAAGGAGTGGCAGAGCCAAGGCTGGACTGTGTCTGCCTCCCCAGCCCACGCTCCTGCCATGAAGACACGCTGCCGCGGGCGACTGGGTTTCTCTCCCACTCCAGATAGCACAGGCTTTATCCCTTTCAACGTGTGCTACCTTCATCACACTGTCTTAACCCTTTTCATGCTCCTCACTGTGCAATGACAGTTTATGGGCGTGTCTGTCACTCGGGCTGTTCCTGGAGGCCCTGGCGAGGCTGGTGCTCAGCGCCAAGCTGCACCCAGGCTCTTGGGATCGAGAGGTTCTGACTTTACTATGACATTAATAAGCCATCAGCAGCACGTGGATATTTAATATCTCTGATTATTTGAGAAGGGAAAATGCAGGATATTCTAAGTAGAAAAGGTTAATTAATTTTACTACCTTTTAATCTCAATATCATATGATTGTTTTAGATGTCCAAATAATAAGTATAAAAGTACGTACATCTTGATTTCTAATTGTGTTCATTAAAATGAGCATCTGTTTTAATCTGGAGCCCCACAAAGTACTCTGGTTTTGAGAAAAGGAAATGAGCCTGTCAGGGTGTTGTCCACGCAGACGCCACTGACGGCGACGCTCGCCAGAGTAAAAGAGGACACGGAAACAGAACAGGGTGCGCTCCTGACAGGTCAGCCTGCGGTCACCTCCATCCCGTGACAGCGTGCAGAATTTAAAAGCTCACTCGCATGCTTAGCCCAGCGCCTCTTTAGCCTTCCCAGGCACCGACGGCTGCCACCCACATGGGGCCCTCACCTCTCGGACGAAGGCAGAGAAGCGCGCCAGGATCTGCAGCGTGAGCCTCCACAGGCGGGGTGCCAGCGCTGGCGCGAACAGCGCATCGGACCAGCAGCGCTCCAGGCTGCGCCACACTCCCAGGGAGGCCAGCAGGCAGAACGGGCTTTCAGCTGGGGAACAGATCACACGTGTAAGGAACACCGGTCAACCGTGGGCGGACATCTAATTGTCGACTCGCAACGTGCGATTCAAAGGCAAAGAAAGTGGTGCCCTGGAGGATGGCACGTGGCCAGCTCTGTGACCACACAGTCGCACCATGTTCTACAACCTCCTCCATCCCTCGTATTTTATAATTTTATGTGACACCACCTCCCCGGTGTCTGGATAAAAACCAAACACACACGGCCCTTGGAAACCATTTTTTAACAGGTGCTTTACACCAAATCCACCAACCTGAGCCGAGTGGCAGTCACTTGCCAAGGTTTAACATTAGTTTCGAATCTGTCCTATTTCATTAGCTTTCCTGTCTTCCCTTCCTCGACATACTGACACAGGGGAGGTCAAATACCCAGGGCCGTGTCTGATAAAGACAGATGAAAACTCACTCTGACCACTGTTTTGTGTGGTTCTTATGCACAGTGGGCTTAGAGGCATACCAGAGAGACGACATCTAAGTCGAGGAACCCAGACCCTGCAGCAGTCACAAGTGATGAATACAGCATGGGGCAGGCACACCTGCACTGTAAGTCTGCACACCTACACCTGTGACCTGCCCAGTGTCCCAGACAGGGGCCAGGGCATGTGAGCCAGGACCAGGGGCCGGCCTGCTCCAGCTGTGCATCTCCTCAAAGAAGGACAGGAGCATCCTGACCCTTCACCGTGCAGACCGGTTCTCAGCCTGGGAGGAGGCAGAGCGTTGCCGACGCGCTGTGGAAAGAACTGATCATCACGCCAGGGGCTACCGCCCCTCGCCACGTTATATTCAGGAACGAGGACAAGGTCTGCTTCCTGTATTCTTAAAGCACCCCTTTTGTTATCTCTATAAAAAATTTGGTTTCTCTTTACCTTATAAAAAAAGAAGTTAAGGGGCTGGCCGGTTGGCTCACTTGGTTACAGCCCAGTGTTACACACCAAGGTCAAGGGTTCAAATCCACATACCCGCCAGCCACCAAAAAAAAAAAAAAGTTAAACTGAGCACCTTTAAGGTCCAACTGCTACATGACAGGAAAAGGCAAAAGCACCCTTGGGGTATGGAGGTCTAGACAACTTGGTGAGCTTAATTAACTCACTGTCATTTCTCAGGTTAAGGAAGTTACCTGGGGCGTCTTCCAGTACATCTGTGAGCGCTGCTTCTAAGGACCCTGCGATTTCTCTAAATCTGAGACAAAGGGAGAACACACATCAGCGTTCTGACTGCTCCATGTCTCCCCTGCACACCCCCTCCTTCCTGTGTCACAGGCACTGCCTCCTGCCCCTCGCTCGAGAAGCCCAGCGTCCTGAGAGATGCCAGCCGGCCTCGGAAAGTAAACGTCCCCACACTAAGAAGTGCGGAAGCTGTGCTCTGCACCTGTGCTACAGCTTGAGAAAAACCACCACCAGCGCCAGTGAAAACCAGCACCCACTGCCCAGTGCCCCGCCACTCTCTGCTGGCCCGCTCTCCTGCTTCTGGGTCCCTCACCCTGCTGGTCACTACTGCCCCACTGGCACCACTGCCCCCTCGATGTGCCTTCCTTTCTCCCTGATGACAGCCGGTCACTGGCAGTTCAGAGCATCCTGTCACAGACTTCTGTTTTTATAGCATGTGGACGGGTCTTCACAACTGTGAGATGTAACTGTGTGATGTGTTCATTTTGTTTATCTTCTAACTAGCTTGCTTACATGGACATTCGGTCTTCCAACTATATAACCCTTCCTCTTTCAAACCTCTCTGCACCAGCACATTCTTTTGTTGCCTGCTAACTTCCTTGCTGGCAATAAATTCTGACACATGCCTAAGATCAATTTATCTAAGTGATAATTTAGGTCTCTTCATAGTATACATGTGCTTGTACAAAGCGGTGCAGACACTGAGCTGAAGAAAATTGTCTGAAGAGTAAACAGGACAGCACTTCAGACAGAGCAGCCCTGTACGGCACAGCTAAGCACTGAGACTCCAGGACTGGGCCACTGCAGCCGGCAGTGTCCGGCAGCTGTCCTGCCTGTCCACAGAAGGAAAGGAACTCTCTACCTGCCTCGTGAAGCTTGCAAAAGGCCAGTCTTTCCACACCACAACTGAGAGGCACAGAAGAGTGACAGGAAAGGGGGATACGGGCACTGTGGGCTCAGCCAAGAACAGCAGCAAAGGGAACAGTGGCCCTGAGCATGACGACCAGAGGAGAGAGACCTGGCCCTGCAGCCAGGAGGGCTGACCAGCACCCAGAGCTCAGCCTCAGCCCTAGCACAGGAAAGGCCTGAAAGCTGGCACAGCACTGTCTGTAACAGGGGAAGACTGGAGGAAACCTGAGAGGCCACAGGAGAGGACAGGATTATGCAATGGTGGCACTCAGGGGACTCTGAGATGTACACAGAGTGACAGCAGAAAGCCTGACACTGTA